AGTTAGGCACTTCTTTTTGGGACGTTGGCTGCAGCAACTTGCTCACTGTGGTTTTCAGAACAAAGAGAGTCCATGTACATTTTAATTCTTCAATGCTCAAATCATGATCATGATACAGTGGTCTGTGGACGTGCAGCAAGGGCTGACTCAAATAGTTGCAGCCAAGCAGTGACATTTATTGAACCACTGGTTAGACTAGGCTAGCTATGTTAACTGCAACAAATTGGTCATGATTTTTAAGCCATAAAAATTACTTAGAAAATACATAAGCACATAACTGCCATTCTTGTTAAAACATATTTGGCTGCAATTCAGTTTTATTTGTATAGCGCCAATTCATAACAGAAGTTATCTCAGGACACTCAGCCATGTTCTCTGATGACTTCCGCCACTTCTGTCGCGTGTGAAGAGTTGGCAGGTAGCTCCGTGTGAACTGGATCCAAAACTGGTCTATAAGCACCTGACAGTGGCGCCATCTGCGCTGCCCCATGTCCGCTGGGACATAGGCCACTTGAGGTAGCGACGCATCCCGCCGCCCCATGAGAAGGATGTCAGGTGTAATGGGGTCAGGGTCGGCGACATCCGCTGACACATAACCTAGTGGTTTAGAGTTTAGGATCCCCTCAGCTTCCACCAAGGTTGTGTATAAGATGTCCTCTGAAATTGCTTGACTCCCCACCGCGACATTAAGACCAGCCTTGATTGAACGAACTTCCCTCTCCCATGCACCACCAAAGTGAGGATTTGGTGGGTAGAACCTGAAGTCAATCTGAGATTCTGTCAGTTGTTCTTTCAACTGTGGTTCCATGGCTGCAAAGGCTCTGCGGAGTTCCTGTTCAGCACCGTGGAAGTTAGTACCACAGTCTGACAGAATCGCCTTCGGTCGGCCACGTCTGGTGATAAACCGATGAAGAGCAAGGAGGAAGGCATCCACATCCATGGAGTTGAGGAGTTCAATGTGGACAGCATGGGTCGTGAGGCACTTGAAGATGGTACCCCAATGCTTTTCTGTTCTCCTACCAATCTTGGCTAGGGAAGGTCCAAAACAGTCCACACCTGTTGAGTAGAAGGGTGGACAGAGAAGTCTAAGTCTCTGCGGTGGCAGGTCCGCCATCCGTGGGACCTTTGGCTGAGCTCTCCATCGCTGGCAGGAAGGGCAGTTGAGTTGGTGGTGTCTGACAGCCTGCCTTCCTCGCAAGATCCAATCTGACTTGGTAATGTGCTGCACTCCTAGCGTTGGCGTTACTACAGCATATGATGAGATGGTGGAATAGAGGGAGTCTGGACACTTTGTCAAGGCTGGATGTATTGGTGTGAATGCAGAGTTTTGTTCTGTCACCTTTCGCCATAGGGGTGAGGTCTCTCACTTTTGTCCCACTCTCTGGTCCCACGGACCTTTAATGAGTCCACCAGCCTGAGGCTCCATGTTGTATGCCTGCTTTGCTAGTGACGATGGAGAATGGCTTGGGGAGGCAAAGGATGTATGGGGATGAAGCGCTGAGGGTGACAGAGTTGGTGGGGGTGTAGCACTCTCCCTGTTGTGATGATCGCCATCTACCTCGTCTTCCTTTAAGAAGGAAGCAATGTGTTCCAGTAGCTCCTGGCGGCTACGCTGTTGTGTTTCATACTGCTGGAGTTTGTTGGTGAGCTTGGCTACTTCATCATTCTCCTCCCTTTCACTCCTTGAGATGGATTCAATGAGTGTTTTAAGTGAAGCAGTGCTCAGCGTGTCACCTGAGCGCGGGCTGTGTGAGGCTACGTGTATGTCCAGATGAGAGGCTACCTTCATATGGCCACTGTCTGCTGCGGCTGCTGCTCCTCTCTGCTCCTCTGACTCTCTCTCGGTAGGGCGGGAGAAAAGGGCAGGTCGCTGAGTATTGTAGACCAGGATGTAGTCCTCAAGATGTCTGGGTGGGTAGTGATGCCTCACATGGCGCTGGTGGGCCTCGTGATGTGATAAAGACGCTGGCTTATATTCTGATGACATTTCTGCAGTAGCCAATTAATCCAGCTCAAAGGACCTTTGTTCGGTATTGAACTCTGAAACTGGTGTGTGTGGAAATCAGCCACTACAGGGCTCCGGTCAGAGAACACACAGTCATCAGTTCATTTACAGTCTTTACTGCCAGAATGAGAAT